TCAAGTAAGGTGGTAGCCCATTGTGTTGTTTGTCGATGTAGCCGAGAGTGTAGGGTGGTGTAGCCATGCGAAGAACGCCGTGGTCGATGTCGAGTCGGGTAGCCGGTGTCGAGGATGTCGCCGTGGAGCCGCAGGCGCTAGGAGGCGCCGAGTTAGTCATGGGCGCAGTGATGTCGAAGTAGTGGTGCGTCGGGAAGGAGACGTTGTTGACGACGTGTCGCGCCGGGTTTGCCAAGCCCGGGGACACATCGTGGACGAAGGCACGCATCGGTGTTGCCAGCACCGGGCATGCGTATTCAGACGAAGACGAAATTGACGAACCGCTAACCAGGCTTGCCAGGCCCGAGTACACGTCGTGGACGAAGGCACGCATCAGTGTTGCCAGCACCGCGCATGCGTAGATGAGAGACCTGCACGAGTTGTACGCCACGTCGAGGAGTCGGAGGGCCAGCAGAAAAGAAGACTCGATGATGGTTGTGGCGCCAATCAGCGTGGGGCTGATGTCACCAATGGTGGTTGGAGTACAGAAGTGGTCAGGGTAGATGACGGCAACACTGGCGATGGGCTGGTGGTGGATGAAGATGAAGGGGGTGGACGGGCGACAGCGGCGGCGGCCAAAGAAGAGCGCCGGCGGTGGCGGCTAGGTTAGGAGTGCGGTGGCGATGGTTGAAGTAGGCGAGGAACCCGACACTGTGATGAAGACCGGCACGATGGTGGCGTTCCCGCGTCGAGGGAGATGGCGCGACGCATACCACGGGAGGTCGACGCGCGGTGGCGGCGGAGTAGACCGCGGGCCAAGGCGCTACGGCCCGAAGGGACGACGCAGCGGTGGCGGGCAAGTCGAGGCGACGGCGGGAAGACCTCGGAGCGGCTGCGGGGACCACGGGCTGCTGCGCGACGGCCCGTAGGGGCGGCGCAACAGCGGAACAGGCGTCGGTGCAACCGCGGGAACGGTTTTGGGCCGGCAGTGTGGACCGCGTGCCATGCTCACTAGGCCCGATGGGGCGACGCAACGGCGGCGCGAGGGTCGGTGCAGCCGCGGGCATGACCTGGAGCGGACGGCCTCAGGGCGGTGGTGGACCGCGGGCCGTGGGACTACAGCCAGACACTACTAGGGAAAAGCCTATACACAGAATCTTACCAGCAGCGCGCTTTAAAAAAGGCGCTGCTGCTACTTAGCAGTAACGCGCTCCAAAATGACGCGATGCTGAAACAAATTTAGCAGTAGCGCTGCCCCAAAAAACCGCGTTACTGCTATAATTGCCACGACCCTGCCGCGAAGCTAGTTATAGAAGCAGCGCGTTAACACAAAGAGCGCTACTGATAGGGCGACGCAGCGGTGACGCGGGTCGGTGCAGCCAAGAGAAGAACCACGGGGCGGCGGTGCTGCGGCCTGATGGGGCGACGCAGCTACACCCTGTTGCTCGATCGGTAGAGGGGCGCACTGAACTCGGGATGGTCTCCATGGGACCTGCGAAGGCACGCGCAACCGACGGGCCAGGTCGGTCGCACGGCATAGATGAGGCTGATCGCGGCGTCAGGCGGGTGATCTATCCGATAGCGCGCGAGGTCGGGGACGCCGCTTGGTGGAGGAGGAGTGGCGGCGGAGTCCGAGATGAGGCCGGCGACGACGGTCGGCAGTGCAGTCGTACATGCACGGCGTAGATCGAAGGGCGGGCCGGCGCGCGAACGACGGCTATGATGGGCCGCCACATGGCGTGAGGCCACCAGGTGCGGTGATGCAGGAGTCCTGGTCGGAGTAGGGCGGCGACAGCCGACGTAGATCGACCGGCGCGCAAACGGCGGATGAAGGGCTGCCACATCGCGTGAGGCCGCCGGGTCGGGGCTACGGGCGAGCAGACGCGCGGACGATGGCCGTAAAGGCCATCTGTTTCGTGTCCATATATACACGGCCTACCGAGCCGAGGGACTATGTCCTACACAAACAAGTTTACTAGTCCATGCGAACCAACCTATGGTTGGATGGTTAGAGGGACAATGGTATCCCCAGCCCACCAGGGTTGAAGTCCTAGTGCTCGCATTATTCCTGAATTTATTTCAGGATTTCCGACGATGCGTTTTTGAAAGTGCTATTATCGACTAGAGGGGGGGGGTGAATAGGCGATTTTTATGAAAGTCTTCAAAACATGATAGTTTCGAAGACAAA